TACCTGGCTTTGCCACGATGGGGAGAGCAGAAGGGATATGGCCTTTTTAAGAAACTGCTTCTTCTCTTATGCTCCAGGTCATTGTGTGAGGGCTGTACCCTGACTTCTCCTCTGCTACCACTCTCGCTGGAGCTGCAGTGGATGCTGAACTGGGTCATTGCCTGCTGCCTGGTCCCTCCCCCATGCCACTTCCCCTGCTTATTTCAATATGCCCACCTTCTGATATTCTGAATCTTTCAGGTGTGTTTATGTGTTGAGCAACAGATCCTTTATTGAGTTATCATTTGTCTGACTTAAGTGCAAGTTTAAGTGGAGAAAAAATGGAGTCTTTTTAGTCAGTCATGATGCTGATGTCAACCTGGGCTACTCCTATTTTCTAACTCAGATGTAAAAGTTTTAAATAAAATGTGAGCAAACCAACCTAGAATTATCTTAAAAGAATAATTCATAATGGCCAAGAAGGGTTCATTCCCAAGCCTTCAAAAGATGCAAAATTAGAAAAAATTAAAGACATTGACATGTGAAGAAAGTAAAACACAGTATCATTTCAGTAGGTGCCAGAGCATATGACTCTTTCCTATGACTACAAAAATCCTTCAATTTATGAATCCTTGGAGAAGCAGAAATTGGCTTGGAGAAGCAGAAGCTGAAAATATCAGATACTTGCTTTCACCAATCCCTTGCCGCTGAGTCACAGGCACATGACCAATCAAACTCACACCAGACTTTGATTCAGGAGCTAGTATCACAAAGTAGTGGTGGTGCAAAATTCTCTCTCTGCAGCAGGGAGGTTGTGATAACAGAGTCCCTGGCTCGGCAGCCGGAGTCGTGCAAGCTTTAGTGACCTTTAGCTCCTGGTCTTGCAGCAGGAGCAGAATTTTGCTCACCAGACTGGTTCTGCAACCTAGTTCTGGGCACTGTGCTGGCTACACAGTTCCAAGTGTAGTTCTCTAGACCTTGCTGACAAATCTGTGAAGTAGCCAATGTATTTTAAATAAATTCCTTTCAGCCTGAATTAACCAGAACATTTTCTGCTGCTTACAACTAAAAACTCTGATACCAATGCAGCAAAAACCTACAGACTCAGGGGCCTTATTCCACACCATAGTCTCTCTATATGCAACTTTCTACCTCACTTCCTGCTGCTTGCTGCCTCATTTTCACCACATTTTCAAGTACTTTTTGAAGCTGGCAAATTATATAAATGGCAAGTCTACAGATTAACTGTGCACCCCTTTGTCCAGTTACCAGCGATGAGCAGACAGGAGCCCCTGTCTGCTCTGGCTCATGAGGTTGCATTGTGCCCTTTCTGAGGGACAGTAGATAGGACATTTTAATCCTTAGGATGGGCAGTGGACCAACAGACATGGTGGCTGAATCTCTGAAACAGGCACCTAACGTGGTGTTGGGAAGTCCTAAAAGGCTTTCTAGTCTGGAAATTCTGGGCTGGAACTTTCCCTATAAATAAGTTGCTCAGCAGGAGATAAGGGATGAGATTCTGGGCATAAGAGAGAATGGTCAAGACTGAAGGGTGGTGTTAAGAGATGGGGCTGGCCCTGGCCAGTTTGGCTGAGTGGTTAGAGTGTCCATCTGCGGTCCGGAGAGACCCGGGTTCGGTTCCCGCTAAGGGCATGTACCTCGGTTGCGGTTTGTCCCCGGCCCTGGTTGGTCGTGCGGGTGGCAGCCACTCGATGTGTCCCTTTCACATCGATGTTTCCCTCTCTCTCTCTTCCTCTCTCTCCCTCCCACTCTATCTGTACAAAAAAATGGAAAAATGTCCTCGGGTGAGGATAAAAAAAAATAAAAAAAAAAATAAATAAAAGAGATGGGGCTGGACAGGTAGGCAAGGATCAGAACACACAGGACTCTGTAGGTCATGTTAGGGGTCTTAGGCTTCCTCCTGAGAGTTACAAAGAGCCATTGATGAGTTTCAAGCAGTGGAAGTATTTGAGAATATCTGAAGTTTGGAAAGACAACTCCAGTGGAAAATGGGAAGAAGGGGTCAGAAAGCTGGGAGACCAGACGGGAGGCTGTTAAGGTAACGCAGTAGAGAGAAGATGGTGCCCTGGACTAGGAATGGTGGCAGTAGGAATAGGAAAAGTAGGGGATAAAATCCAGGAAACTTGGTGACAAGTTGGATGTGGGGATGAGCGAGACAAGTTAAAGATGACTTCTCAGGGATTTTGTTTGTATTAATGGCTATACTAGCAATATTTCTTTTCCTTTTTTTTTTTTTTTCTGCTGTTCTTTTTACTTCTTTCTTTTAAAAACTTTTAAAATTGACATTTTGTTTGTTTAGAGAGAGAGATTAAGAGAGGGAAAGAAGCATTGATGTGAGAACAAACATCAATTGGCTGCCTTCTGCATGTCCCCGACCAGGAATTGAACTGGCAACCTTTTGGTGCATGGGATGATGTCCAACCAACCAAGCCACACTGGCTAGGGCATCTTTTGTTTCTTTTTCTGTTTATTTTTTTTGGTATCTACTTTAGACCAGCAATTTTCTTTCTTTTTAAAAATGTTTATTTATTGATTTTAGAGAAAGAGAGAGAAACCATCAGTTTGTTGTTCCACTTATTGATGCATTCCTTGGTTGCTTCTTGTATGTGACCTGATTGGAGCCAGAACCTACAACCTTGGTGTATCCGGACAACGGCTCTAACCAACTGAGCTACCCAGCTAGGGCCAGACCAGCAATTTTCAAACAGTGTGCTGCGGCACACTTGTATGCTGAAGGAATTTTTTAAATTTTTTGTTAATCCTCACCTGAGAATATTTTTTAGTTGATTTTTAGATAGAATGGAAGGGAGGGAGGAAGCTAGAGAGGAACATCGATGTGAGAGACACACTGATTGGTTGCTTCCCACGCAACCCCAACCAGGACCAGGAGTCCAACCTGCAACCCAGGTACATGCACTTGACCAGGAATTGAAACCGAGACACTTCGGTCTGCAGGCTGATGCTCTAATCACTGAGCCAACAAACCAGCCAGGGCTGCAAGGATTTCTTTTTTCTTTTTCTTTTCAAATAGAGTTGGGGGGGCGGGGGGAGACATCTATTGGGTGCCTCCTGCACGACTGTGACTAGGACCAGGAACAAACTGCAACTGAGTTAAGTGCCCTTAACCGGAATCGAACCTGCAACTCTTGGTCCATGGGCTGATGCTCCAACCACTGAGAAAAAACAGCCAGGGCAAGGGCTGCAATAATTTTTTTTTTTTTTTATCCTCACCTGAGGACATTTTTCCATTTTTTGTTCAGGTAGAGGGAGGGAGGGAGAAACATCAACGTGAAGGGACACACAGAGTGCCTGCCAACCACACGACCAACCAGGGTCGGGGACAAACTGCAATTGAGGTACGTGCCCTTAGCGGGAACCGAACCTAGGACTCTCTGGTCCATGGGCCGACACTCTAACCGCTGAGCCAAACCGGCCAGGGCTGATTAGTTAATTTTTGATACCAGAAATCCTTATGTACAAGTATAGGCACCTGGTTTTTTTATTTTAATTTTTTTCTTACTGACTTTTTGAGAGAGAGAAAGGAAGAGGGGATGATGGAAAAACAAGCACCTGGTTTTTTAAAAGGTCACTTTGGAGCAAAAAGGACAGGTAATTACCATCATTTTATTTGTAAATCAATCAAAATGATACCTATTTTTTGGTGTGCTGCAGAATTTTTTATTTTTTTAAAATATTTTTTTATTTTTTAGAGAGGAAGGGAGAGATAGGAACATTGATGTGAGAGAGGTACACCAACAGGCTGCCTCCTGCATACCCACTACTGGAGATCAAGCATGTAACCCCGGCGTGTGCCCTGACCAGGAATCTGTGGCCTCTCAGACCATGTGACATCGCTCAATCCACTGAGCTACACAGGCCGAACAGTCTTTTTTTTTTAAATCCTCACCTAAGGATATATATATTTTTCCATTTATTTTCAGATAGAATGGGAAGGAGAGACACATTGACTGGTTGCCTCCTGCACGACCCTGACCAGAGCCGGGACAAATCACAACCGAGGTTTGTGCCCTTGACCAGAATCGAACCCACGACTCTTTGGTCCATGGGCCAATGCTCTAACCACTGAGTCAAACCAGCCAGGGTGTGTGCTGCAGTATTTTAGTAATCATTTTGTGTGCCATGAGATGGAAAAGGTTGAAAATCGCTAGACTAGTCAAATGCATGCATAATGGTGCTATTCACCAGGCTGGCCAAGATAGGAAGATAAGCTACTTGAGAGATGATGAGCTGTTTTGAACATACATCCAAAAAATCCAAAAGGCAGTGGGACATATGTGTTTGGGTCTCAGGAGAGAGGTCTGGGCTAGAGATAATGTTTTGAAAGTCACTGGAGTACAGGTGGTAGTTGAATGCAAGGGAATGGACGAGGATAACCTCAGATGTTTGTGTAGCATAAGAAAAGGCCCAAAGAACCAAAGTCTGGGGGCAGGTTAATTTTCATGAAGGGCAGAGGAAGAGGAATCCACAGAGGGGATGAAGGGCTGGCCAGAAAGTAAGAGGAAAACCAGGACAATTCGTGTTATGAGTCCCAAGGTGGGTATGGCCATGAGTGTGCAGGCTGTAGGGGGAAAGATAATGGAGAGGTGTCCAGTGGATGTGGGGGGTGGGGCACACTGGCGACCTTGGCAGTGAAGGGGTGGGGTGGGGGAGTAAGAAAACAGCCTAGAGTCGGTGAGAAGGCAGAGGAAGGACGGGAGGTGAGAACGGTGAGGCTTCTACAAGCTGGATGAGGGTGGTGGTTAAGGAGCTCCCTCCCAATCTCCCTGGTGTAGGACAGTGGGAGAGGAGAGCCGAAAGGAGGGCTTGGGGGAAAGTTGTGGAAGGGGGTGATAAGGGCTTGGGTCCGGGAGGGAGACTGTTCACGGGGTCACAGGAGTCCCTATCAGGCTGGCATTTCCTCCCCATCGCCGCCCCTTCCTGCCCCCGCCAGGCCCTCCCTAGAGCTGGAAGAAAGGACTGAGTCACACCCTGGAAGAAGCTCTGTGCCTCCGGAGGTTTTCTGCCTGCCTGTAAGCTGGGGTTGGGGCTGGGAGAGGAAGGGGTAAGGGCCAAGGACCCGGAGCAAAGCGGTTTAGGCTTTGGGGGGCAAGGGTAGGAGAGAGGAGTGGAGAAGACGGGAGGTGTGGGAGCCAAGTTTCTGGAAAAGATCCTAGTCTTCAGTGAGGGCTAGGGCCTGGGGGAATAATGTTGGGGGCCAGAGGGGTACCCACTCAAACTCCCCTTGCCCACAGGTCCCCATGCCTCTCCTCCTGCTGCTCCTGTTCCCAAGCCTTTCACACCTCCATCCCACCTGCAAGGTCTCCCAAGTGGCCAAGGAGGTGGAAGTGAACTGTGAGAATCAGGGCCTGAAGGTGCTGCCTCTAGAATTGCCAGCAGACACAACCATTCTCCACCTGGGCCAGAACCCCCTGGGCACCTTCTCCATGGCGTCCCTGGGGCCTCTGACCCGCCTTACTCAGCTGCACCTGGGTAGGAGCCAGCTGACCGAACTGCAGGCTGGTGAAAAACTGCCACTGCTGCAGGCCCTGGAAATGCCCCACAATAACTTGGTAAGCCTGCCCCTGCTAGGACAGACACTGCCAGCTCTCACTACCCTGGACGTCTCCTTCAACAAGCTGGCCTCGTTGTCTCCTGGTGCCCTGGAGGGCCTGAGCCAGCTCCAGGAGCTCTACCTGCGTGGCAATAAGCTGAAGACCCTGCCCCCCCGGCTCCTGGCACCCACAACCCGGCTGAAGAAGCTCAATCTGGCTGAGAACCAGTTGATGGATCTGCCTGTTGAGCTCCTCGAAGGGTTGGAGGATCTTGACACCCTCTACCTCCAAGGAAACTGGCTGCGCACAGTACCAGAGGGCTTTTTCGGGGACCTCCTTCTGCCTTTTGCTTTTCTCCACAGCAACCCCTGGTCCTGCGACTGCAGCCTCCTTTATTTCAGCCGCTGGCTGCAAAACAATGCTAACAACGTCTACTTATGGAAGGAGGGTGTGAATGTCACGGCCATGACCCCCAACGTGGAGAGTGTGCAATGTGTCAATATAGGCAAAACATCGGTCTCTGCCTACTCAGGGGAGGGCTGCTCTCCTCTCGAGGCTAACACAGGTGACTATGATTACTATGAAGGGGGCACTACCACAAGAGCTGTGGTCACCAACACCAAAGCCCATACAACCCACCGGGGCCCACTGTACTCAGAATTTACTGCTTCTCCAGACAGCCAGATGCCCTACTCGCCTCCAACCCAAGAGTCCACTAAGAAACAGACCACATTCCCAACCACCATAGAATTCATCCCATTCTCCAAAACTCCTAAACCCACCACCACCCCGACCACCCCAGAGCCCACCTCTCCGACCACCCCAGAGCCCACCACCACCCCGACCACCCCAGAGCCCACCTCTCCGACCACCCCAGAGCCCATCACACCGACCACCCCAGAGCCCACCACCACCCCGACCACCCCAGAGCCCACCTCTCCGACCACCCCAGAGCCCACCACCACCCCGACCACCCCAAAGCCCATCACACCGACCACCCCAGAGCCCACCACTCCGACCATCCCAGAGCCCACCACCACCCCGACCACCCCAGAGCCCACCTCTCCGACCACCCCAGAGCGCACCACCACCCCGACCACCCCAAAGCCCATCACACCGACCACCCCAGAACCCACCACCACCCCGACCACCCCAGAGCCCACCACCACCCCGACCACCCCAGAACCCACAACTCCGACCACCCCAGAGCCCACCACAACCCCAACCACCCCAGATCATACAACCCAAACCAACTCAGAACTGACCATATTAACCAGCACAGAACCCACCTCACTCCCTATTTTGGAATCCACAACAATCATCTCTGAATTTGTTGACCTCCCAGAGGCTCATGAGGTGGCCCAAGGGAAGATGGATAGCTCCAGAAATGACCCTTTTCTCAACCCTGACTTTTGCTGTCTCCTCCCCTTGGGCTTCTACATCTTGGGTCTCCTCTGGCTCCTGCTTGCCACTGTGGTCCTCATTCTGCTGCTAACCTGGGTTTGGCACATGAAACCACAAGCCCTGGCCACAGCCAAACATGCCACTCATCTGGAGCTGCAGAGGGGAAGGCAAGTGGCTGTGCCCCAGGCCTGGCTGCTTTTCCTCCAAGGATCACTCCCAACTTTCCGCTCCAGCCTCTTCCTGTGGGTCCGGCCTAACGGCCGTGTGGGGCCTCTGGTGCCAGGACGGCGGCCCTCAGCTCTGAGTCAGGATCGTGGTGAGGACCTGCTGGGTACAGTGGGCATTCGGTATTCTGGCCACAGCCTCTGAGAGTGGGTGATTTGGGGACTCTGAGAGGCTCTGATGCATGGGGGTGGGGGTGTTTCTCAGACCACGGTGTTATTACCACTTAGGGGAAGTTTTAGGAAAAAAACAAATAGAAAGCAGAATAGTGCCTGGCTGGTGTGGCTCAGTGGCTGAGCGTCAACCCATGCACCAAGAGGTTGCTGGTTCAATACCCTGTCAGGGCACACACCCAGGTTGTGGGCCCAGTCCCCAGTGGGGGGCATGCAGGAGGCAGCCAGTCAATGTTCTCTCTCATCAGTGTTTCTATCTCTCTCTCCCTCTCCCTTTCTTTCTCTCTTTAAAATCAATAAAGAAAAATAATTAAAAAAAAAAAAGCAGAATAGAGCATAGCCCCATTTGTACATTGAAAACTTTAACAGATTTATCAAGATGTAAACCCTGTCCCTGGGTGGTAAAAATGTTTTTCCTTTTCTCTGCTTGGCATTTTCTAGTTTTCTACTATATTATTTGTATAATAAAAATAATTTCAAGCTCAGCTGGTGTGGTTCAGTGGATTGAGCGTTGTCCCTGGACTGAGAGGTCCTAGTTCAGCTTCCGGTCAGGACACTTGCCAAGGTTGCCGGCTGGATACCCAGTAGGGGATGTGCAGGAGGCAGCTGATCTGATGTTTCTCGCATTGTTTCCATCTCTCTCTCTCTAAAAAAAAAAAAAAAAAAATCAATAAAGAAAATAATTTCAAAAAGAAAAATTAGGTTCTTTTGGAGAGGAAGTGGTTGGGACACCTCTCCCTGGCATTCCCAAGGCCCCAATTACCCTCACTCTAGTTGTACTACTCACCCAAAAAAGCTAATCTTAGCTTGCACTGCCCCTGCTTGGGGTACCTACTTCTCTCCTCCATGGGTGACCACTCTCCAGGTCACCACAAACACCAGTTCCCAATCAAGAACCATGTTTCCCTGGAGATCAGTAATACCAGAGGCCTACCCGTCTGTGGCTCACAGTACCAGGAGTGAAGGTGGGTGCTTCCTTGTACCTGCAGCCTCCGAAATGCAGCTTTCCTGGTCTGTTCAGGTGAGTGGGACACAGTAAGGGTGTGGGTTTTACTGAACAGTCTTGGTTTCCTACTTTCAAGAAGTGATGCATGTAAATGGAACCCACTTCTCTTACCTGGTACCAGATTCTCCCATTCGCCTTAGCACCCTCAATGGGGCTTTCTCGCCTACCCTGTCTCCGGCACAAACCAAGGCTTGGGGCCAAGGATGGGAAAGCTGAGCCTTTCTGGCTCTATGGAGACACCCCCCCCCCCCCAGATGGTGCTGGAAGAATCTTCCTAACTTGAAAACCTGACTACATTTTTTCTGCTCTGAACTCTTCCCCGGATAGAGGACAAATGCTTGAGCTTGATAATCAAGGACTTCTGTACACTGATGCATCAATCTAGCTTCTTCTCTCACAAATACTTCACCACCTGTGCTCCAGCTACTGCAAACATCACATTGATCACCTGCTCCCAGCCTTTCTCCTCTGGGCCTTTGTTCTCATGTCAGCGAGGAGTACTGCCCCAACCCTGTTCCCCAGCCAGTCTAACTGCTACTGTGCACAGGTTTCTCCTCCCCCGGGCAGAGCCAGGTGCTCTAAGTTACCCAGCAACTCCCAGTTCCCCAACTGCTCCTGTGTCATCTTCCCCCTCAGACTTGGAATCCTTTAAGTATAAGACTCAGGCCTCAAGTGTCTCAAAATGGCCACAAGGCCCAGGCCAGCATGTACATGGAGCAGGTAAAAAGACAGGCAGAGGTGGGAGGGCCCAGCAGGGATGCCAGACTGCTGAGCTCCACCTCTTCTATGGAGGCTCTGCCAAGGGAACAGCTCCCACCTGCTGCCTGCCTGTCCCCTGCCCTGGCTCAGAAGCCTTCGGGCCTCATACTGATCAACCCTCCTTCCAACTGACCTTTCCATACCCTTTCATGCCCCAGGAGGTTTTTAGGCTCCTTCAGGGAGGGGCCAGGAATTACACAAACAGATATAGCAGTCACTCTCCCCAACCTGGCACCCATTCCCTCTGGCCAGCAATCTCTGGTTCCTCCAGACCAGGTTTTGGGGGCCCGGCTTCTGCACTCACTCCCTCAAGCCCTGCCGTCCACCCCAACAGGCCAGGCTTCGCTTCTCAGACTCTTTATTCCCTCCCTCTTTAGGCCACAGAAGCAGTCACCAGATCCCAAAGGCTTTTCCTGGGGATTATGTGAGATGACTTGTGCTGACTTGTGCATCTGTCGCATTCTTGGGCGAGTGGCTGGGAAGCAAGACACAGGGCCTGGATTTTGATTTTCCTCACCCATCAGCTGCTGCAACAAGACTAATTTACATATCATTTGCATAAAACCAGCAGGTGCTTTTCTTTAATAACTTTTTCTTAAAAACTCCAGTTTCTGTTCTCAAGGGGCATTGCTTCTTTGTCCAGTCTCCTCCCCCTCTAACCCCCACAACTCTTCAGATTTGGGGGTAGTGTTATCAATCCAATTTATTATGTCCTCAATGAAGTGGAGGGATGAAGGGCCACATCCTCCCATTGCAGACCCTCTGACTATCTTGACAGCTTTTGCTCTCTCTGGTCCCCTCAGCTGTGCCTTGGTTTCACTACTAAGAAGGGGAACCTTCTGCTGTCCTATGTGTCCTGAAACTAATACCCAAGAGGAGGCTGGAAATCCTCAGGGAGTTTCTCAGCTCCCCCCAAGACACAGCCAGGGACAGAGAGGCCATGAGGATCAGAACAAGAAGGGTAAGCTGGAGCAGGGGCAGGACAGACCAAAGTCCTTTACCGCAGAGGAAGGAACCACACTGTGGAGGGAAAATAAATAGAGGGGCCCAGGGCAGCAGTCCAGGCCCCCCACGGGCACAGTGACTGCAGGAGCAGCAGGCAAGTGGGAGTCCCAGCACACTGGCTCCAGGCCCCTCATCTGCCTCAGCCACTGAGGAAAAGACGCTTGTAGGCCTTGTTCATCTGCTCCAAGAAGATGAAGGTGAGGACGGTGTGGGGGCCCAAGCGGGCATAGTACGGTGTAAAGCCCTTCCACAGGCTGAAGAAGCCCTCGTAGCGAACGACCTTCATCAGCACATCCTAGACAGGCAGGTGGGCAGGACACTAGGGCTAGGACCTGGCCTCTAGGGCCCTGGCCCTCATACCCAGCTATCCTCACTGTTTCCCCAGGACATCTCCAGCCCAAGCCCCAGCCCTGTTTCCTCACCAGGCCATTTTTGTATTCTGGCTTCCCGTCAATCATTCGCATGTTCTGGATCCTGAAGGAGAGGAGGCAGAGACATGAGAGACATAAAAGGGCCCTCCCTTCCTTCTCCAGGCTCAGGCCTGCAGACTCACCGGGTCTTGACAATGTCCACGGGCATGGAGGCAGCAGTAGTGACCAGGCCACTGATCATGCTGGCACAGAAGTGGCACAGGATGTTGTCAGAGAAGTAGCCTGAGGAAAGCGGAGCAGGGATTGGCAATCAGCTTGGAGCAGGCCCAGGCCAGGCTGGGAGCTGAGGGCCCAGCTCTGGGTCTCACCTGAGTCCAGTAAGAACTGCTTCGATTGGGAGTAAGAGGCGAGCTGGGCAGCATTGACGACAACTGCCCGAGCCATGGTAGGGATGCAGCCCTAGGTAGGGAGTAGGGGAGGAGTCAGAAATGCCTGAGACCTGACCCCACATTCCCCAAGTCTCCAGTCCCTTCACTCACCCTCCATAGTGTGGGAACCCCCTCCTCCTGCGCAATTCGAATCAGGGCATTAAACACGTTTTTGTAGCCACGGCGCTGGTCAGCTGGAAGCCTGGTGGGAAGGCAGGGAGAGGCCAAGCTCAGGACAGACCATCCTGCCCACAGGAACAAAGAAAGGGGGGCCAGAACAGATGAAACCTCTGCTCTAGATCTAAGATAAGAAATAGTCCTTAATTCTAGATGTCAAGTAACGGGGCTGGAGGCCGGCTCAGACCTGGAACTCACCGGCCATCAGCAGTCATGCGAATAAGAGCCACCTCAGCTGGTGTTCCTACAAAGGCACCAGTTGCACCTGCAGTCATGCCAATCAGGGCCTTCAGCAGAAAACCAGGGGGTGTACCATCAGCCCCAGTCAGACGTTCAAATAGCACAGTATAGATGCCAAGGCGAGTTGTGGTGTAAGTGGCCTGGCGCAGTAGGCCAGCTGACAGCCTGGGGAGTGAAGGAGTCAGTTTATCAGGCCAAGGTCTGGAGCTGCCAACCCGCACCCTAAACCCCATCCTGTGGCCTCAATACCCAGTGTAAATGCCCCTCAGCCCTTCTGCCTTAAGGATGCTGGTGAGGGCATGGAAGCTGGTTTTGTACTCTCGAGTCTTGGCTCCTTCTCCGCTCAGCTGCATCCGGTTCTTCACCAGGTCCAGGGGTTGCACAAAAACTGTAGCTCCCATCCTGGGGGAAGACAGGGGTAGAGTCAAGGGCCAAGTGTCACAGATCTACCAGTGCCCATTGGAGCCTGGCAACAAGGGTCACAAGGGGTAGAGCCTGCCACGCGATTGACTAAATGTTCAGGAGGTTGGTGGACATGTGTATAAGTCTACGCGTGTTTAAAAAGCAACGGGTCTTTTTTTTTTTTTTAAAGTCAAATGGTCCAGGAGGTGCCATGCAATGAAAGTACTCCATGCAACTCCAAGGGGTTCAAGCAGTGACCTGGAACTGCATGCATTCCGACCCATTCATGACCCGCAGGAGCCACGCAATGAACTGGAACTCCATATAGCCCGGCAGAGTCAAGCAATGGGTTGGGAAATTCAGGTGGCCGCCCGGCGGGAGTCATGCAATCATCCTGCATGCAGCCTAATAGAGGCCTGCAGTGGGCAAAATGATCCTGGCAGGCCATCAAGGACCTCGAAATACACTGAGGACGGCGCTGACCCGTGCCGGCTCGGTACACTGCAACAGACCCTAAGATGAACTGGGCCTGGTTCCTTGCACCCGTCCCTTCCTCCTCTTGCCCATCCCTGGGGCCTGCGCTTACCCGGCCAGGCCCCCAAACAGGAACTTGACCGACTTAGGGGACGTACGGGGTTTCCCATCCATCCCGCCGGCACCGGGACTCGCCGTAGCCGCCATCACTACTCGATGGCCCTCAATACCCGGTCCCGTGCGCGCGCGACCCCGCTCGCGCCCAAGGTGACACCACGCGCGCAACAGGGGCGAGGGCGCGCGCGCACACTCCGGTGGTTCTCTGGTCCAGAACCAGCTGTACGAGGGCGCAGGCGCGTAGCGCAAAGGTAGCCGGGAGTAAGGCGGAGCTGAAGGAGCTCAAGGATGGGTGCACGAATGGGGTGTGGCTGGTTTAGGAAGCCAGAGCATAGGCGCAATTTTTACCGAATTGGAATCGCGGGAAAATAGAGGTGTTTGAAGATCTCGCGAGATTGAGTAACCTAGGCTAGCCAGAGTTAGGAGGTGTCTCGCGATAGATACAGCAATAGTTCAGCAGGTGGGAGGGAAATGTGATAAGGAATCTCGCGAGACCTGAAGGTACCGGGACATCAGCAGCGGCCAGAAAGAGGAGAGGTTTGTAAACCCGTCGGCTCCAAAAGGGTAATGACTAGGTCGTTTTCTGGGACTTCAATGTCCCTTCATCTCCACAGGCATTCCCTCTACCTCTAACCATTATTTTAATTGGCTTTTTAGAACCGGAAGTCCTTCTTCTTCAGCGTCCAATGCTGGATGTGGCCTGAGTTTCTTTACCGGAAACCCTTTTCCTGGACCTAGGAAGACGGCCCACTTAGCCGGAAGTTCCACCTCCTGGAGCTCCCCCACCCTTCCAGAAGTTTTTCTGTCATCGGTGTTTACCTCCCTCCACTTTCCCCGTTTTATCCCTGTACCAGGGAAGGATACGTTTAGTGTCTCCCTCCTAGGTCCACTAAACGGGTTGGATATCCCACTCCCCGAGTCCGGATTCCTTCCCCGCGTCCCCATGTAGCTGGGAAGTGGGACCTGGGGGTGGTTGGACCCCTGGGATCCTGGAGGGATCCGCTTCTGCTCCTGCTACCAGGACGCGGCCTCAGCCTATCCCCTCACGCTGCCATGCACTCTGCGGCCTTCCCGCTTCCTGTAGTTGTGGCCACTGTGCTGTGGGGAGCGGCCCCCATCCGGGGGCTCATTCGAGCGGTGAGTTGAAGGGGCAGATGTGGGTAGGGCACTGAAGGGAGAGGTTACAGGCTGAAGGAGAATATGGAATCTTTTGCCCGCAGACCTCAGACCATAATACCAGCATGGACTTTGCAGATCTCCCAGCTCTCTTTGGAAGTGCCTTGAGCCAGGAAGGACTTCAGGTAGTTTTCTTTTCTTTCTTGTTTCCCTAAATATTCCAACCTGGGTAAGGGTTGAGGAGCCATACCTTTGGATCAAGCTAGAGGTAGGAAAAGAGTCAAGATAGGAAGTGCATTAGCACATCTAGTGTGGAATCCAGAATCTGGAGGGAGAAAACAAAGTCTGTTCCTAGAAATCTGAACCGTAAAAGGGAGGCTGAAAGTGGATCAGAATAAAATGCAGGGAGAAGTGGTGTCTGTCAGTAGAGTGTCTGGGGTCAGTTGATGGTTTATATGATCTTGGACAAGTTAATTATCTCTGTGAGTCTTAGTTTGTTTTACTGTAGCAACGGGTAATAATAGATGTCATCTAGTGATAGTGTGAGAATTAAACTAGATAAAGCAGTTTTGTAGTACTTCATCACAAAGACTGCCACACAGCAAAAACTGGGCCATCGATATCAGTATAGTTGTTTGTAAGATGGGTAATCGTAAACTTGAAGAGAGATGTTAAAAAACATCTTACTGGCCTGGCCAGTGTGGCTCAGTGGTTGAGCATTGACCTATGCACCAAATGGTTGCTGATCAAGGCACATGCCCAGGTTGTGGGCCAAATTCCCAGTGGGGGGCATGCAGGAGGCGGCCAGTCTCTGTCCTCTCTCATCAATGCTTCCATCTCTCTCTCCCTTTCCCTTCCTCTCTCTCTAAATCAATAAAAAAAGAAACAAAACAAAAAAAAACAATGTTTAGCCCTGGCCAGTTTGGCTCAGCAGTTAGTGTCGGCCCACGAGTTGTGGGTTCAGTTCCAGTCAAGGGCACGTACCTAGGTTGTGGTTGGTCCCCGACCCAGTCAATGTGTGTGTGTGTCTTTCTCCCTCCCTCCCACTCTATCTGAAGATACATGGAAAGATACCCTTCAGTGAGGATTAAAAAAACAAACAAAAAACATGTTACTGGCTTTATCCAATGGTTTATTAATTGGGCAGTATCCCATGTAGCAGATAGACAGGAATTCTATGAAGCTGTACATACTGAAAGACTTTCATAGGCAGAAGGGAGTGGGACAAGGGAGTTATACTAGCAGAGAGCTGGTTGTCTGTGGCCAGGTCACCTTTCTTTAGGGGATGGCAGGGGGTATATTAGGCAGATTACCTCACTAGTGCCGACCTGGTAATTCCAGAATGGCTTGTTTAAGATTCCATTCCAGATGTGTTGGCTGGTGTAGTTAAGTGGTTAGAGTGTTGGCCTGAGAACCAAAGGGTCTCCAGTTTGATTCTCGGTCAAGGACATGTACCTGGGTTGCAGGTTCCATTCCTGGCCCTGTTTGGGTCACATTCAGGAGGGAAACGATTGATATTTTTCTCTTTCTAAACAAAATCAATGGGAAAAATATCCTGGGGTAAGGATTAACAAAAAAAGATTCCATTCCTGGGAGAGGCTGAAACTATCACTTAGGTGTTAAGTCTGTTTGGTGATATGGAGCTTAGCACGAGTGACTCCATTTTGGGTCTGTTGTCTTTCTCAGTCTTCACCAGAGGAGAAGTTTTGTTTGATTTTTTTCATTGGTAGAGAGGGAGGAAGAGACACAAACTTTGATCAGTTGCCTTCTGTACACACCCCAACCAGGTAGCAGGAGCAGGATGATGTTTCAACTAACAGAGCCACACTGGCCAGGGCCCTATTGTCTATTTTTTAACAGAAATATATTCAGTATGAGTATGTACTAGAGAAGGGAGTGTGAAATGGAATTTGAAAGTGACATGGATGAGTGGAGAATCGATGTACAATCAATGGGAAACTGGAAGAAAGAATTTGAATTAGCTTGGAGTGTGGGGTATAAGTTAGCTCATTTGGGACAGGGAGAGGGATAATGGGCGGGTCTGGTAAAGGGATGTTATTTGATATAATTTCATCTTCTAACTTGGGTGGGATGCTCAGACCCCAGGAATGAGAAGGAAGTGGAGGATAGAGAACATGCAGTATGTAGGGTCAGTGTGCTTGGTGGGCCCCGTGGGGAGCAGAACCTAGGGAGGTAAATAATCCAGCTGTTGTTTACTCCTCTTCCCCAGGGCTTTCTTGTGGAGGCACACCCAGCCAATGCCTGCAGCCCCATTGCCCCACCACCCCCAGGCCCGGTCAACGGGTCCGTCTTTATTGCACTGCTTCGAAGATTCGACTGCAGCTTTGACCTCAAGGTTGCTAAATGTGGAGTGGGAGCTGGGAATCTGAGGGTAAAAATAATGTACCAGTAATGAAGGGAGGCAAGACCCATAATGGTTCCTTATCCCCTGTTTTGTCTCCATAGGTCCTAAATGCTCAGAAGGCTGGGTATGGTGCAGCTGTGGTACACAATGTGAATTCCAACGAACTTCTGAACATGGTGTGGAATAGTGGTAAGGTTGGGGGTTCCATACAGCTGAGTTTTCAGTGGAGCTTAGACTTAGAGATGGTGGGCGAGCTAAAGGCTTAGTAGGGAAGTCAATCCTTTGGGTGGGATGGCACAAAAGAACCAAATGCCAAGATTGCCAAAGGACTTGAGTAGAGGGTTGAGTCCCCAGTGTAATGCCCTGATCCTTGCAGAGGAAATTCAGCAGCAGATCTGGATCCCGTCTGTGTTTATTGGGGAGAGGAGCTCCGAGTACCTGCGTAACCTTTTTGTCTACGAGAAGGGGTAGGATGTGTCCCTCCTTCCCACTCCTTTCTTCCTTCAGCACTTCCATGCCAATCTGGAGTCCAAACCTCAGGCCCTTCATACTCTGCCTCTTGACTTTCTTTCCACCCCCTTTTCCATCCATGGGCCTCGTCCAGAGCCAGTTACTTTGTCTCTCTTCCTTTGTCACTGCTTTTCGTGCCTCTCTGATACTGGTCTTCCTTTTCCCAGGGCTCGGGTGCTTCTGGTCCCGGACAGTAGCTTCCCACTGGGTTATTACCTCATCCCTTTCACAGGGATTGTGGGACTGCTGGTTTTGGCCATGGGAGCAGTGATGGTGAGTAGCTCATGGAGCATGATAGGAAGAGCTGAGGCCTTTAAAACCAGACTGGTTCTGGGGTTTAGAGGTAGGGATGGTTTGTACTGGATTGTTCAGTTTTGTTTCCTAAGACTGCTCTGATCCATCCACTCCCTTTCCCCAGATAGTTCGTTGTATCCAGCACCGGAAACGTCTCCAGAGGAATCGACTGACCAAAGAGCAACTGAAGCAGATTCCAACACATGACTATCAGAAGGGTGAGGGGTGTAGGAGAAGGGAAGGTCTTTCCCATAGTGTACATGGTTCTGAAGGAATTTGAGCCCAGGAGATAAGGGGCAAAGAAAGATAGCAGGGGGAAGATGTCAGCATGAGATGCCACCTTTACTCTTTGTACCCATACATACAGTGACAGGACAGAAACAAAGTAGAAAATGGGAAGCAAAGATGATTAAACGGAGTAGTTGCAGGGAAAGATGGAGATCAACCTTGTTTATAAGGGAGGTGGAAAGAATAAAAGTGGAAGGAACGGGCAGGATTTAGTCTGAGAATAGGTGAGGAGGGGCTAAGTTTTTAGGCCTAGGAGCCTCCAGTGTCCAAATAAGGTAGTAGCAGAAGCCCTGCCCCCATTTCCGCTCCTCCTACTCCCTATATCTCCACCCTTACACCTCCCCCCAAAAACCCACTTCCCTTCTTACCTCTGCTTCTGTTTGTTGCTTCTAACCCCCAGTTCCTCATGTTCTACCCTGGCCTTACCCTGCACGGCCCAGTCTCAGCTCTTCCACTGGCTCTGCAGAACCAGGGAAACTAACTCTTGTAAGGTTTAGCTCCCTACAGGCCTCCCAGAGTGAGGTCTTGTGGACCCTGGTCCAAGGTGGCTCAGTAAAAGGACTCATTTTTTCCTCCCCCAGGAGACCAGTATGATGTCTGTGCCATCTGCCTAGATGAGTACGTGGATGGTGACAAGCTGAGGGTACTTCCCTGTGCGCATGGTGAGGCCCTCAGTTCCTGTGTCTGTGGCCCCACTCCACCAGCAGGTACCAGGTATTTCACCTCATTCCTCTTGGCAGCCTATCACAGCCGCTGTGTGGACCCCTGGCTCACTCAAACTCGGAAGACTTGCCCCATCTGCAAACAGCCTGTCCATCGAGGTCCCGGAGATGAGGAGCAGGAGGAAGAAACTCAGGGGCAAGATGGTGATGAGGAAGGGGAACCAAGGGACCATCATGCCTCAGAACGGACCCCACTTCTGGGCTCCAGCCCCACAATTCCCACCTCTTTTGGCTCCCTAGCCCCATCCCCCCTTGTTTATCCTGAGTCTTCAACAGATCCCCCACCCTCTCTTCCCTCTTCATCTTCAGCTGCCATTCCAGTCTAATTGTTCCCCTTATCACCCCCACCCCTGGTGATCTATTTTGCACAGCCTCATTCTCACTTGTAGCCTTCTATGTTGAGGGATAGGGCCTATTTCTACCCTGGGTTTTTCCCTTATCCAACCCCATCCTTTTGAAGGGGGTTGGTGCAGAGGGACTGGGTTAATAAAATTGTTTTTGTCGACTAAGGAAGGGGAGATCATTCTCACACAGGTGAATAATCTCTTGCCCATTTGGGAAAGTGTCCCTTTTGGTGTAAAGGGGCAGGGGAGTTCTGGGAGAGACTAACCTAGTCATGGGGATGGCCCCAGCAGGCATTTGTTGTGAGTCAGAGAGGGGGAGGCCCACCCACAGGATGACTCAACTGGCCCTGCCTTGCCCACAGGCTGGGTCCCATTCTCTGGTCTGGATGGCTCTATTCCATTACCCACTAATTCAACTAGCACACTGAGGACCTAGTGCTAGAAACAAAGCCAACCACATAGGCCTGAGGCAGGTGCTAAGTCCTGGATATGGAAAAGCAAGCTTCAACCCCTCTTGCTCCTAACCCCAAGCAAGGATAAGAGGCAAGTCCTAGTGACTGTCCTCCATCCTGACAGCCAGGCTAAGACCACACAGCACCTTGTTAGTAGAATCTTTTTTATTCAGAAAAAAAACAAACAAAAAAAAACCAAAAATTTTTTTCCAATCACACACAGGAGGGGTATGGGTAGGGGGAGGTGTCTGTCCATCCAGCCCTGGCCCCCAGCCCATGTGGTTTTGGCAGCAATAAGGGGTGTAGGGTAATGGCCCAAAAAAATAAAAATGGTGTTTGTGTGTGTATGGGAGGGAGAAGGGTGCAAAAGCAGTGGGGAGTGGTGGGGGGAAGGGAAAGACGAGGTCAGTACTGGGAACGCCGCAGGTGGGAGGCCATTTCATAACATTTCTTGTTGATCATACCACCGTGGACACCTTCTTTGCCCATCAGCAGGACTAGCGCTGGAGGAAAGAGAAAGGAGGCTAGGACCCAGGTGTCACAATGCCATCTCCTGCCAGCTGTTCAGCAGCTGTCCAGCCCTGGGGGCTGTAACCCAACCTCATCTCTCCCAACCCCCCCCCCCCAACACACAACAGGCAGGCTGTCAGTCACCCTGAAACAATAGGGCTTTTCAAAAGGAAAAAAAAAATATCAAGCTAAAAAACTGGAAGCAGAATACTAAAATTTAGGGCCCAAAAGCTTATAGAGAGACTCGTGTGTCCAGGCTAGAAATGGATATGGATGAACCTGCCAACTCCCAAGTTTTAACAAAAGGGCTCAAAAGACAACAGCTAAGTGCTGACTACAACCAACAGTCTACCTCCTCCCAAAAAGTTTCTTGTCTATAAAGGCTCAAGGCAGGACAAAACTGAAGAGGTAATACAGTTCAACTTATTTATATTACAAGATGAACTGAAACAGAACTTGAGAGACTATCCAATGTCCCATTATCCAGCAGGCTGGGACTAGAAAGCTGGTCTGATCCCTTTGTACTGGGGAACCACACAGAAAAAGAACCCAAAAGATCCATAGAAAGGCGCACATTAGGGATCTTAGAGCCACAGAAAGGTTAAGACTCAGAAACTCACTCTTGGCAGTCATGGTGACAGCGATGTTGAAGGTGGGGGCTCCCCCGGTGCTCTTGGTACGAAGATCCATGGTAAATTCCCCATCCTGCAGCAGTGAGTCCCGGATCACAGAACATTTCTGGCCCCCAAGTGTCAGCCCATTCACGAAAAAACTTGACCGGTCTTTGCCAACCAGGACACCAACCTCAGCTGGCTGTAAAGGGAACCAAGCACTCATCAAGTCAGTACACCAAAGTTCCCACTTCCAAGGACACATCTGCTTCCCACTTCTCAGGGGAGCTAGAATCTCCTGGAGAGAAAAGGTTGTGTATGTTAGGTGGTTTGTACCCACCTATGAAATTTAAGAAACTCTTAGGACTGTTAGAAGTTAGTGCACAAAAAGATCAAGGTCCTCAAACCTAGAGAATGGTAATATGAAGAGATGGCATATTCCTCTGGACACTTTAGTCTCGTTTAAGAGAGACTGCAAACTCAGGAGATAAAGAGGGACAAACACCAGTAAGGAGTGGAATGGAGTGGGGAGCCTTTGGATGCTCAGAACTCTCCTTTAGGAAAAGCAGAAGCTAAGAAGGGAAGGGAAGGGGCGGGCAAAGCAGGAGAAGCAACTTTGCCCTTATTTGGTCAAAGGTTCTGAAGGAGTTGTTAGGGGCCCGGACGCCTGGGTCTCCAAGAAACCTAGAGTTTAGGTCCAGGTATCTATGCTCCAAGATGAAGAAGCAGATCCCTGGGGGCTTTCCGGTGAAGTTGTATAACTTTTGAAAGGGGACCTAGCTAGACCCAGCACGTCAGCTCTCAGGGACAGATACCCCAGGGAACCTTTCTACCCCTCCCCCTTACACCCCAAATCCCCACATCCGGTCCCCTCCCGCCCGGAAATCCCCTTCCCCCCCATTCGAACTTCCGCTCCCCCTCCCCACTTCCGGGCAGTGTGGACCAGGGAGGTAGTGATGGGGACAGTAGTAGTCATTCCTTATTCCTCTACTTACACTATCCTAGAACTTCTCACAAAGTTCCCCTGCTCCAGGCCCCGCAGGATGGCGGGAAGGGAGGGCGAGGGGACTTCCGGGATTGGTCTCACAGGAATGTTTTCACCGCGCAGACTTGGGGGGGGGGGTGTGAGGCGGCCTCGCCTTCTCCACTGGAGTTGGGAGGGGCAGGGAGCCCACAGAGAACCCGCATGGAACCCCGGCCACGCTCCCTCCCGCATAAGGGGGAACAATGGTGGAAGGGGCACGAGCTGGTGGCCGGAAGTGGAGCTGGGGGTCCAGAGGTCCCCAAGTCCCTTCTCAATCACAATCCCCGGTTGAAATTGCAGCGCGTGCCCGCCCCGCCCTTAACAAGGCGGAAGTGGGCCGCCGCACCGGGCAGCGCGCCCCTCCCCGCCCTGTGCCCCGGATGTAACGCCCCGTCGCGGAAAGCGGGGCGGCGGGCAGGATGGGAGATACCTCCTGGGGCACAGGATTTTAAGTAGCAACCGAGGGACTCTCTCACGTGCAGCCGCCATTCGCACCACTTCCAGGGCAAAGACCGGGTCACGGCCTTTCGCTGCCCTTCCCAGACCGCACCCGCCCCCACCCAAGTCCCTCCCTCAGGGTCCAATCTCTGCCAGTCCCCCGGACCGCGCAGGCCTCGCAGTACCGTGATGTTGACGAAGGTTTTCCCGGGGACGGCGGCCCAGACGGAGGGCGAGTCCTTATAGCCCACGATGGCCGCGTCCTGACAGGTCCCGTCCGCCATGAGGTTGTCGACGTAGGCGTTCCACCCACCGGACATGGCGCTGCTACTGGGGCTGCTCTTGGCGCTGCTGCTGGGGCCGCGGGCTAGGTTCGGGCTGCCTCGGGCTGGCAGGCGGGGGGAAGGCGGAGAGCTCGGGGCACGCGCTGCCGTCCGGACTGCAGCTCTGCTAGCTGTGCAGCAGCCCTCGCACCGCCACTTCCTGCTCCTCCCCCCCCTTCTAGATTTTTATTTGCAAAGGGCGGTAGGGGCGGGGCCTGCTCCCCATTCCCTTCTAACCCCCCCTCGCCTGCCCAGATACCTAACTTTGCAAATGCAATTTTAAAAATCCCTCCCCCTATTGCAAAATTTGCAGAGTTCAAAGGAAAGCAATGTAAAAGGATGAAAAGAGTGGGGAACAGGAAGAGGTTAGGGTTAGGGCTCTCTTCAATTTGCATTGACTATAAACCACACTTTGGTATAGGGAAAGGAGTGAGCTAGAGGAAGGAAAGTGAAAGGAGGAATTAGCAAACTGCCAATTTAGCAAATTAGAGTGGGTTCGGGGAACTCAGGGTTAAACCGAACGACTCCCCCTTCCCCCACCTCCGCCGGAGGGAAGAAACGGCGGGCGGCGGCGCGTGCGCCCGCGCCTGCGCCGGGCCCGGGAGGGAAAGCGCGTGGGGCGGTTGGGGCCGGCAGTCGGATTCGCGGGCGCGCGCCGTGGCGGGCCCAACTGGACCGATTTGGAACCCCTGCGAAGGAAGGTGGCGGGGGACGTGTTTCCCGCCGGGCAGAAGCGGCGGGGGCGAGAGCAAGGCGTGCGCGTTACCCCTTCTCTACTCTTGATTGTATTTAATCAAGAAATAGGAGAGCAAAGGGGAATTTGGCAAAATACCCTGGCGGGTTTCAGAATGGAAGGCATCCACTGGGACACTTCTGTCCTATCCCCAGTATCTGACCGGGTAGCACAGGTTAGACTCAAGGGAGTCCAGCCCCACTCCAGGGAATTATCCCTAGCAGGATCCGCTCCAGTCCCAGGCCTCACCCACGTCACAGCCCCGTCCGTTCCCGGGCCAGCAGTGTGGGTCTCCGGCCGTGCCCCTTGGCGCATCTCTGCAGAGGTCACTGAGCGCGGGCGCCCGCGGGGCCAGTCGGGCGGGCCTATTTTTTATGGCGGAAGAATACTACGTTTCTGGGTTTGCAACTTTTTCAAGGGGAAGGTCCCTTCTACTTTAGGCCCAAGAGTTTCTTTTTTTTTTTTTTCAGTAAAACTTATGCCAACAATTTGTGTTGGGATAGATCGCCCGCCGCCAGCTGGAAGGGGGTGGGGCAGCACCGGGCGGCCGGCTTAGGTGAACTATCCGCGCTCCAGCCGCTTGGGATGCTGTGTTGGGCCGCTTCCGGTCCTCCGAGGGAGGGGAGCCTCCCGGGCGGGAAAGGACTGCATCTCTCTCATCCTCCCGAGCTGGGCGCGGTTCCTCTGCGGCCACTCCACACTCCACGGGCACCCGACGCCCCCCAGACGTGTTCCTCGACAGCCGCCGGGGCTGAGTCACTGGCCCGCTGGGCGGGGCCGCGCTCGGGCACGTGGCGGCGCTCCCCGCCCGCCATCTCCGACCTCTGGCCTGCCGCACCCCCTACCCTAGGGTGGAAAAATCCGGGGAGGGAGCGGCCAGAGATAAGGGGGAGGGGCCAGTTAGGGGGAGGAATTCAGGGTTGGGGGCTGGAAGTCAGACAGGCGGAGCGGGGAGGGCAGACGAGGAGAGGGCCGCGGGAGTGAGTCACCCGGCGCCGGCGGGAGGGGCCTCGGAGTCGGGGGCGAGGAGCCTAGGCGCTCCGTGACCCTCTCCCGCTGGCCCGAACCTCGGCGTACCTCCCTCTCCTGGCTGACTGCGGCAAAACTCCGGGCCGACCCCGCACTCCCCCCAGAGCCGACAAGGCGGAGAGTTACCGAGTGCAGAGACCCACTTCCCTGCAATGCTTCTAGAGGAACACCCGCCTGGCCTCGGGCGTCCAGACACTCGCTAAAGGCCACCCCCTCCCCCTGTTCATTCATTTTTCACTCCTGACTCAACATCATTCGTTGATGGGCTGGGACCGCGTCCTGAAACGCCCGCAGTCGGTGGGAAAAGGGGCACCTGACTGACAGCATCCACGCCGGACGATAAGTGCTGTCCCAGCGCTATCCAGCAGCCGCGCCTACTCCAAGGGCCAGTCTAAATTGGTCTCCCGCCCCCTCCCCCATCCTCTTAGCCGGCCCGGAGAGGGTAGGATGGGGTGGAGCCGGGAGAGGCCGCTATGAGGACCCTGAGAGGTGAGACCCTCTCGCCTTCTGAATGGGGGGGGGGGAGGAAGAGGAGGGGGTTTCAATTTTAGACTTAAAAGCTTGCCTAGAACCCACGGTTCCTTCCCCCTACCGAGGGCAGAGTTATCCCCTGCCTGCCATGTGATCTCAGCATGTGTGGATGTCAATCCAGCAGCCCCTCTTCCAGGCCCCCTCCCCAGCCCTACAGGGCTCAAGTTACTCCTGGCCTTTCCTAAATGGCACTAGTTCCTCTTTAACCTTTGCAAAAGGAGAATATAATCCTGGGGAGGGGAAAGACCCTCCCCCCATTCTGAAGCGCCTACCCAGAAGTGGAATTAAAAGTAGGGACATTTTATTGAGGGACAGAGAGAGGTAGTTATTGACCTTTGGGAAGGGGGCTTTAGGCTTTAGTGGGCACTTGGCTACCAGCCGAGTGTGGAGGGGGAGGGTAGAGAGAAAGAGGCGGGGCTGGCTGGGGGACAGAGTGGCTGGGGATAAATGCTCAGCCTGAGAGGAAGTGAGCTGACACGGTCCCAGCTGCCACCTGGACTCCGAGCTCACTCCCAAGCCCCCAGCCAAGACATCCAGGTCTGGTGAATCTTCCAGCCCCAGGGGATGAAAGTGGTAAAGGGTGAGGGTGGTTGGAGGAAATAGGGGAAATGCCAGCTTCTTTTTCCTCTCCTGAAACTGGGGGTGTTTAAGACTGGAGGAGTTGGAAGCAAGCAGGATGGGGTTCCCAAGGATAGGGAAATGAGGCCATGAAGAGAGGTAGGCAGAGATGGATAGAGAAGGGTAGTTAGAGCTGGAGCCAGGTGGAGAATTTGGGGCCCCTGAGGATTTGAAGAAGACTGAGGAGCAGGAAAACGAAAACCAGAATAACGGGAGATTTGATGGCTAGGAAGCCATGGAGAACAGACAGCTTGACTTTGCAGGAGAGGGTTTCAGGGAGTGGTGGAATCGGAATCTCTGGAGTTATGAAGAAGAGGCCCCTGGATTCTTAGGATGGGGTGGAGGGTGGAATAGGAGCTGTTCTGAGTGGGGGAGGGGGCTGTGCCTGCCTCTTTAGTCTGTGACCTTTTTGTGCGATATTTTTAGCTCAAGCACCTGCCTTCTTGGGGTAGGGAAGACTCTTAAAGGGCACCAGATTTGGGGTTCCTTAAGGAGTCAACTATTCACACTCCCTCAACCTCTTGTCCTGCAGCCATGGCCATGCAGAAAATCTTTGCCCGGGAAATCCTGGACTCCAGGGGCAACCCCACCGTGGAGGTGGACCTGTACACAACCAAGGGTAACACAGACCCATTGAATTGGTTTGCCTTGGAAGACCCCAACTGCATCTGTCCCCCAGCTGTCCCACATCCTCACCTTTCCCTGACATCTCCTTCCCCAGAGCTCTTCCCAGGCCTTCTTCCTTTTTCAATCTGGCTCCCCTGTTAGAAGCACCAGTCTGTCTGCACTGTCTCCAACCCTGGGCTCAGAGAGGAGACCTTGGTCCTTGGGTCGTGGATGGGATTCTCTGACCTTCCAATTCCTCTCACCTCAGGCCGATTCCGAGCAGCTGTGCCTAGTGGAGCTTCCACAGGTATCTATGAAGCTCTGGAACTAAGAGATGGAGACAAATCTCGCTACTTGGGCAAAGGTGAGGATAGACCACACTCCAAGAGCCTGTAAGGGGTGGTTCAGGACATGGCTCCCTATGTCTGCTTAGGGTAGAACACTGGAACCCAAAGCTCTTGAGGAGCCAAGGTCCACAGGAAGATACTCAATTGAATTGGAACTCTGAACCCCCTCTTCCGGCCTCTCTAGGTGTCCTGAAGGCTGTGGAACACATCAACAAGACTCTAGGTCCTGCTCTGCTGGAAAAGGCAAGTTGGAAGAGTCTCTTCCTACTATCTCTCCACCACCCCTGCTGCCTCATCCCAAGCAGCCCATGCTTGGGAGAGGCCAACCATCCTCTTTTCAAATTACCTGCACTTCTTCCTTCTGCACATGCTCTGACTCCTGAGAAATCTGACTTCTGCTCTCCTCTCCTCAAACCTGCCCTTCCAGAAACTAAGCGTTGTGGATCAAGAAAAAGTTGACAAGTTTATGATTGAGCTGGATGGGACTGAGAATAAATGTGAGTGAAGGGCTAAGAATAGGCGAAGGGATGGGATACGGGATAGATGGGGAAGAGACCACCGGGCTGAGGTCTGGTTAGGGTTATTACTGTGGCCCACATTTTGGGGCACATTGTAGCTGGATGGACTTTTATTCATTCCACAGGCATTTCCTGATGCCTGCCCTCTGCCAGGCTTGGGCTGGGCTGTGGACACAGATGTGAAGCTGACACATTCCCCTGGAGTGGGGGCGCCTTGAGCATGTCAGGCCCCTGGGTAGAGGCCTGTTAACAAACTCCATTAGGAGTTTGGAGTTCTGGATTCTTTCTGGGGTGGCCAAAGGGGACTTTTTGTTTAGTTTTGTTTTGATTTTAGAGAGAGGGAGGAAGTGGGGAAGAAACATCTATTTATTGTCCCACTTATTTGTGCATTCATTGGTTGCTTCTTGTATGTGCCCTGATCTGGGATCAAACCCACAACCTTGGTGTATTGGGATGACACTCTAACCAACTGAGGGAACATTTGAGGAGATGACTCCAAACCCTGGGGGAGAGGCTTTCACCCTTTCTTTGTGCTTGCTTTCTCCAGCCAAGTTTGGGGCCAATGCCATCCTGGGAGTGTCCCTGGCTGTGTGCAAGGCTGGAGCAGCTGAGAAGGGGGTCCCGCTCTACCGACACATTGCAGACCTTGCTGGGAACCCAGACTTGGTCCTCCCAGTTCCTGTGAGTGCAGATGCCCCGCCAGATCCCACAGTGACAAAGTTGTCCCATCCAGCGAAAAGTATATAAGCAGCCTCTAGAATATTCACCTTTCAGACCCAGCTCCAAAGAAGTGGTTTCCTAAAATGGAACTTCTCCTGCTCAGTCCTACCCCTCCTTCTTCCCCACAATCCAAACCTTCCTTTAAGCTTCTCTGCTTCTTCCCCTTGAAGTAATCACATTCCAGTCCTAGGCTCAATAACTCCAGCTTCTTATTCTGCTTTCTACCCCAACCCCCAAATCTGATAGAGAGCTTCTTGCTGGCAAGGATATTGTCATTTCTTTGTATCTTCTTTAATCCTTAATAAAACCAAATTTCCTCTTTATGAAAACCCTTTGAATTGAATGTCAATAATAATGTTATAGACAAAGCCTGAACTATGAACAGTTTAATACAATAAAAGTCTGTTTCTCAAAAAAAAGGAAAAGCTACAATTTATTGTTACTTACTAGGCAGATTGAGATTGTGTAAGAGCATGAGCTCTGGAGATAAGAGGCTGAGTTCGAATCCTGGCTTTGCCTGTGTGCTAGTTGTGTGACCGTAGGCAAGTTAATTAACCTCTCTATGCCTCAGTTTCCTCATTTGTAGAGTGAGGGATAATAATAATACCTAGACCATAGGGTGGTTTTGAGAATTAAATGAGCTAATAGAATATATGTAAATCATTTAGAGCAGTGCCTGGCCTGTAATAAGTGCCATATCAATGTTAGCTATTGTGTACCAGGCACATACTAAAAACTTTACATTCAATTTCTCTAATTTTCAGCATAAGGTCCTACAGGGAAGCAGGTGGTATTCTCTTTAGAGAAATGAGGAAAGAGGCTCTGAGGAGTAAAATTACTCATCCTAGATCACTCAGCTAGTAAGTAGGGAAGCTGAGATTCCACCTCAACCCCTCCTCCCCAACTCTTCTTGATCCCTCATACCCTGGCCCAGGTCTGAACACCCACTCCTCCTCTCAGGCTTTCAATGTGATCAATGGGGGCTCCCATGCTGGAAACAAGCTGGCCATGCAGGAGTTCATGATTCTGCCTGTGGGAGCCAGCTCCTTCAAGGAAGCCATGCGCATTGGTGCTGAGGTCTACCACCACCTCAAGGGGGTCATCAAGGCCAAGTATGGGAAGGACGCCACCAATGTGGGCGATGAGGGCGGCTTTGCACCCAACATCCTGGAGAACAATGAGGGTCAGTGTGAGCACTCTGAGGGGCAGAACCCCTGGGTCCTCACAGAGGAACGGGCTGTGGAGACAGCGTGCACCAGAGCCTCAGGTCTTCTCTTTTCCTTCTCCTAGCCCTGGAGCTGCTGAAGACGGCCATCCAGGCAGCTGGCTACCCAGACAAGGTGGTGATTGGTATGGATGTGGCGGCATCTGAGTTCTATCGCAATGGGAAGTACGATCTTGACTTCAAGTCACCTGATGACCCCGCACGACACATCACTGGAGAGAAGCTGGGGGAACTGTATAAGAGCTTCATTAAGAACTATCCTGGTGAGACTCCCTGCCTCCCTGAGGTGTTCCAGTGCACCTGCTTGAGTACCCAGCAACTGCCCAACACACTGACTTCAGAGCCTCCATTGCCACCAACTTGGTCTTTCCAATCCTTAGCACCATTGTAATCTCCACCTAAACTCTTCTGACCTAAACACCCTTTCCTGAGGCCCTCGGACCTTTAACCTGACTCTGCCCGTCTCCCACCAGTGGTCTCCATTGAAGACCCCTTTGACCAGGATGACTGGGCTACTTGGACCTCATTCCTCTCGGGGGTGGACATCCAGATTGTGGGAGATGACCTCACAGTCACCAACCCCAAGAGAATTGCCCAGGCCGTTGAGAAGAAGGCCTGCAACTGCTTGCTGCTGAAGGTCAACCAGATTGGCTCAGTGACTGAATCCATCCAGGCGTGAGTGCCTGCTAGCCCTGGGGTATACCATAGCCTCCCTCCACCCCAGTTCTGCCTACTCCAGCTGCAGTCCTGCCCTCAAACTCCAAGTCTACCTTTCCCCTGGTTTCTGACCCACCCCACTCTTCTGACCTCAAGGCTTTGACGAACTCTTGGCCTGACCCCAAGGACTTTGCCATTGCAACCTGTCATTCCCACCCCCACACCATACCACTCTTTTCTCCCAGGTTCTGCCCTTCTTCCCACCAGCATCTCAGAACCCAAGTTCAAGATCAGGAATCTCCCCTTCTCTCCTACTTTCCAATGGACTTTAGTCATTACCCTCCCTGCAAAGTGCCCTCTCCCCAAAACAGAAAAGCCCATCCAGCCTCTGGCTTTCTCACTGAGGAGGTCCCATTAGGCCTTATCAAGTGTCCTCTCTACCCAGCTGCAAACTGGCTCAGTCTAATGGCTGGGGAGTGATGGTGAGCCACCGGTCTGGGGAGACTGAAGACACATTCATTGCCGACCTCGTGGTGGGGCTCTGCACAGGACAGGTACTGTCCTCCCCTCTGTCGTGTTAGAACAAGTTTTCTTGGGTTCCCTGGCCTCCTGCCCCTAAGTTGAATGATACCACAGACTAATTCCTCACAGCCAGGCCCAATCCCCTTTCCAGCCTCATGCAACCTTAGAATCCCTCTTCCCTCCTCAGATCAAGACTGGTGCCCCCTGCCGCTCAGAGCGTCTGGCCAAATACAACCAGCTCATGAGGTACAGTGGGTGCAGTAGGCCTGGGCATGGGGAGCCAGGCACTGTTGGGTTAAAAGGGCGCAGCTCTGACCTGGTCTGCCTTCTAGGATTGAGGAGGCACTCGGGGACAAGGCTGTCTTTGCTGGACGCAAGTTCCGTAACCCAAAGGCCAAGTGAGAAGCTGGAGGCCCCAGGACCCCACAGGACAGATGTAGGCCTTCAAGCCCTTGTCCCTGAAATAAACACTGGTGTCAACCAAGACAGTGGCATGCTCCTTTGTGGGAGGGAGGAGATGCTGGTCTCTGGACTGGAAGACAGGTGGGGGGCAGGAAAGGGAGAACAGATGTATTACCTGCTGGGACAAAGAGGAAGTTGGGCTGGATCTAGAACAACAAAGCTCACATTTTAAAAGGAGACTGGGGGAACCAGGTGCCACATGTGAAATGAAGCTGGAGGCAGTGATGGAACATGGAACCAGAACCAGAAGCGGGGACTGAGGGTCTGACCTCACCATGAGGGGAGGCTGGATTAGATCTGCCAGCACATTGAAGTACAGTCTGTAGTGTATTGCAGTGTCAAAGTCAAGTGCTTTGTGAGTATGACAGTAAAAACCAGAGCAGCTAGCACTTCTAGGGAGCTCAAAGATCTGGAACTGCTCTAAATATCTGACATATGTTGACTTGTGTAATCTTTGAAACAGTTCTATCAGATAGTTACCATTATTATCCCCATTTTTACGGGTGAAGAAACTGAGGCACAAGAAAGTCAGATACCCTACTCAAGGTAACACACAACAGAATTAATATCCAAAACTAGGCCATTTGGCTCTAGCCATTGTGCTCTTAAAATACTTTCTCTTGCCCTGGCCAGTTTGGCTCAGCAGTTAGAGCGCTGGCCTGCAGTCCGGAGAGACCTGGGTTCAGTTCCCGCTAAGGGCACGTACCTCGGTTGCAGTTTGCCCCCAGCCCTGGTTGGGTCGTGCGGGTGGCAACCACTGATGTATCCCTTTCACATCGATGTTTCTTTCTATCTCTCCCTCCCACTCTATCTGAACAAAATATCGAAAAATGTCCTCGGGTGAGGATAAAAAAAAAAACTTTCTCTTGCCCTGGCCAGTTTGGCTCAACGGTTAGAGCGTTGGCCCACAACGGTTAGAGTCATGGGTTCGATTCTGGTCAAGGATACATACCTCGGTTGCAGTTTGGTCCCAGGCCCTGGTTGGGGTGGTGCGGGAGGCAGCCAATTGATGTGTCTCTCTCACATTGATATTTCTCTCTCTCCCACTCTGAAGATAAATGGAAAAATATCCTCGGGTGAGGATTTAAAAAAAACAAACAAAAATATTATCTCTTATGAAAGTGCCAACATTTGGCTATCTTTGGCTTATACAAACAATTTTATACTGCTCAAGCTAAAATTACTTCTCTTCCTCTCCAGGACCCACTTCTTTCTCTGTTCAAACAAACCAAGACACTGGGTCAAACAGTGTTTATTGAATTAAAGTAACCCCAGCCCCATGGGGAAGAAAGTTCCAAGGAGAACAGAATAATACAGATTAAATACCCACCTGCGCATTTACAGTCTCTTGCGCGCACACACACACACCATATACATATCCAAGCTCTTAACAGTAACAAATCAAACACCTGCTTCCTCCAGCCTAAGTGGTGGCTGTTAGGAGGTGGTTCAGAGATGGGGCTCCAGAATGGGTTCTAATAGCAGCAGCCTTGTCCCTCCCTGCCCCCTACCCTACCCCAGGGAGCTGGGGTGCCTAGGAGGTAGGTGGCAGCTCTTCCTTGCTCTGCCTCAGACGCTTCTTGGCTCGGATCTCATTCATGGCTTCTTCAATGGAGCGTGTGTCCCTCTTGTTGGCCACGGGCACTGGGGGCAGAGGGAAGGGCGGGGAGGGCTTAACCTCCCTGTGCCTTAGCTTTCCCTCCCCTGCCCATCCAGTACTCTACTCCCCTGCCCTTCCCAGCCCCCACTGTGGCCTCACCACAGCCATAGGTCTTGTTGGCCTGTAGCACATGGGCCGCATCCTTGGCTGCCCCCTTGCCGATGAGGTGGCTGTACTTGTCCTTGTAGTCACTGGTGGGGCTCACCACCACAGGTCCCTGCTGAGCTGCCTCCTCCTCCTGCCGCTGAGCCAGCTCCTAGGTGTGCAGAGGTGGGGCATTGGTGCTCAGGGGCCTGACCCCAGCCCTGCTCTGGTGGTGGCTCTAGGACTCCAGAGACTGCCAGGTATAACTCACCTTCAGCTTCCGTTTCTCTTCAGCCTTCTGGGGGTCCCACTCCTCTCCATGACGGTAGGAATCCAGCTCTTCATCTGAGGGTGCAAACTCCTGGGGAAGAAGGGATAATAGGGTCAAGGTTCTATATACCTGTTTCATCTCATTTCTCTTCCTGAGGGGAATACAGGCTGAAAGGGAGAGGAGAGAGTAGGAAACTCAGGCCTTTCACCTTTTTGAAGATCATGACATAGCGACAGTCATCGTCTTCCCCGAAGGAGAAGGATGTCAGGCCAGCTACTTCCACCACATCATGTCTGGGGAGGGCAGAGGGGAGAGTATGTAGAGCCATGAGGGGGCCTAGTACCCTCTTCTTGTGGATTTCCACGCTGAACCTTTCATGCCACCCTGGCCACCCGATTCCTGCCTCCCCCAGCCCAAGACACTCACAGTATGCTCCTCTCTATCTTGTTCATCGGCTGAAACTTTTTCTTGATCTGCCCACTGTCCTGGATGAAATCTGACACCTCTTTCTCCATCTTGGGAGAGGGAAATGGGAAGAAGATATGAGGTGATGGCTCTTTCCCAATATCCCTCTTTCCAGTTGGACCAACAGGCCTTCGCCTCCCCACACCTATCTCAGCCTCCATGCCACTGGCTTCACCTCTCAAGACATTTAAAAAAAACTGAGTTCTAATTCAAACTTATTGGAAATCCTTTCTGAGGCTGCCTCTGATCTCTCCAGTTGTTCTCACCCTTTTACGAAACTCCACTTTCTGTTGTTTGTCTTGCTCCTGTAGTTTCTTCAGGCGGGCAGCCTGCTCTGGGGGTGAGAAATGGCAGCATGAGGCCAGGGGCAGAAGCATAGGTGGGGAGAGTTTGTAAGGATTCAAAGGAGGTCTGGTGTCCACTGGGAGGTATCAGGCTGAGAAGGTAGGATCGCTGTTTATTCACCAAGCATTTATCGATATTTAAACCTGGTGCTGTGCTAGGCCCTGGAGAACCAAGATCATTAAGATAGTTTTGCTCTTCAAGAGCTCAGTTTAGAAGTAGCAGCCAAGATTAGAATCATGCTAAACCTCATTTCCCAATCTCACAGGGAAACCAATTAACAGACATTTATTTAATACCCATAATATACAAAGAATTACAAGGCACCTGGGGAGGTAAGGAGACCAGACTAAGCCAGGGTCTTAAAGAGTTTATCATCTCATTGTCTACATAGGAAAGGGAAAATTATTTAACTTCCTATATTTTGTGACCTCCCATCCTCAAACTTCTTACTTTTGCAGACAAAATGAAGCTGAAATGGCTAATCTCACACCCTTCACCTTTGGGAGTATAAGTATTCAAAGTCAGCTGTAGAGGGGACTTCACACCCTTCTATCTTAATGTCTGCTCTCCTCTCTTCTGGCATTTCAAATGCTTCATATACTTAAAGCCCATTTCTTCCACAGGATCTGAATATATCTAGTGGCACTGACCTATTCTCATTTTCCTAATCACTCCATGCCTTTCCACAAGGTGTTCCTTCTGCTTGAAATGCTTTCCCTCTTGCAAACTTTGAGATCCACCATGAGTCAGAGTTACTCACTTCTTCCTCTGGGGCCCACACACATTCGGTTCAGACATCCACTATAGCATGTGTTGAGAACTAATATAATTTAACTGTTCATTTGTCTCCCCTACCAGACTATAAGATCTTAGGAGGCAGGGACCCTGGTTCATCTCCTATCCAATTATTCTCTGTGGTCCCAGAGCCTGATAGCTTAGGATCTCTCATCTCTTTGACATCAAGTGCTGTGACCATCAGTGCATCCCATCACGGCCACTGAGTGTTCACTAACTGGTTTGTGAGTCCTCTCTGTATCTGAGGAGGTGGCATAAGACGATGGTTAAGGTCATAGTCTTAAAAGTTACACCTGGGTTGAAAACCTTGCCACATAGGCCTGGCCAGTGTGGCTCACTAGTTGAGAGGTCGCCAGTTTGATTCCTGGTCAGGACACATGCCCATGCCGTGGGCCCGATCCCTAGTGGGGAGCATGCAGGAGGCGGCCAATCGATGTTCTCTCATTGATGTTTTCTATCTCTCTCCCTTTCCCTTCCTCTCTTAACATCAATAAAGAAAAAATATAAATAAATACATAAATAAACAAAACCTTGCCACTTAGTACCCCTGTGACCTCAGGCAAGTGACTAAACTCTGAACTTTGGCTTCCTACTCTGTCAACTGCCACTAGTGAACCCCACCCACCGAGACAGTCATGGTGAACATAAAATAATCCAATTGCCAGTTCTCATTATGCTCCCTCCTTCCTCAGAGCTTTCAAATACACATCTCTACCTGTAACACGTTGCTTCCCCTCTCACTTACTGAATTATCTGTTCTTCAGATCTCAGCTCACTACAGTACAAACTAGGTTAAGGACCCCTGGGTAGCCGCTCATAACATTTATTTTTCTGCCCTGGCTGGTTTGGCTCAGCAGTTAGAGCGTTGGCCTGCGGTCCAGAGACCTGGGTTCGGTTCCCGCTATGGGCGCTACCTAGGTTGCAGTTTGTCCCTTGCCCTGGTTGGTCCTGCGGGTGGCAACCACTTGATGTGTCCCTTTCACGACGATGTTTCTCTCTCTCCCTCCCTCCCACTCTATCTGAACAAAAAATGGAAAAATGTCCTCAGGTGAGGATAAAAAAAAACAACAACACAATTATTTTTCTTTCAGACTACTTATCAAGTTGGTTATTAAACTTCTGTATGATCTGCACTGCCGGTGTGGCTCAGTGGATTAAGGGTCCTCCCATGGATTGAGAGGTCTCTGTTCCATTTCCGGTCAGGGCACATGCCGGCTTGATCCCCAGTAGGGGGCGTCCAGGAGGCAGCCAGTCAATGTTTCCATCTCTGTCTCCCATGCTCGCTCTCTTTAAAAAAAGCAATTACAACATATTTAAAAAAATAAACTTCTATGTGATCATTTAACCAACGCGCATCTCATCAATGCTTCAGACTGTGGGCTCCTGAGGGTACCCCTGGCCCCTAGCAACCCTTCAGTAAATTATAGATATTTCTATATTAAGCGTCACTTGATAAGCGCTTTGAAGGCATCCAGCCTGTCCTGGCCGGTGTCCGTAGTCTCAAAACCCTCGGGGCGGGGGTCTGGGGTCCTCCCCAGGTCACAGCTCCATCAGGCCGGCCGCGCCCTAAGCTGGCAGAACTCTTGAGCCCGCCTGCAGGAAAGTTACTCAGAGGAGACAAGGGGAGCCTACAGCCAATCGGACTGGGCAGAAGCATTCTCTCCTCTCCAATCAGCATCACGACCTGCTCAAGGAACTGGGAAAAGTAAGGCTACAGATGAGAGAAAGGTTGGGAAAGGGTAGAAGGGACCCGGCTAAATCGAGTAGGAGGGGCATAAGGGCATCGAAAGGACCCAACAACCAATTGGAGGTGCTGAGGTGGGTGGGTGGGCCAGAGGATGGCCTTTAATAGGTAGACCTTTAAGTTAAGATGGCCAATAGAAGTGAAAAGATTGCGGATGGGCGCGTCCTGGACCCAATCAGAATGGTAATGGGTCGTGGGCCACTTGGGCCAGGAGATGAGAAAGGCTGAGCGACCAAACGCGCCCTCTTGCGGCCCGCCGGGTTGGGTGGGCCGGCGGCAATCTGCCAATCAGAGCACGCCAGCAGCGGACAGGCGGGTCTGTCGGCGAGTGGAAAACAAGGACTGCAAGGCCAGGGTAGGGAAAGAGGCAGGAAGCTGGCACTAGGCTTCGGGTAGCCAATCACCGTCCGCTACGAGCAGCGGGCGGGTCGGCAGCCCTTGTAGGGACTCGAGGGAAGGGGGGGTGTCTCTAAAGGGGCCTATGAGGGGGTCTCTTAAGGTTGAAGAAGCGGTACGGTCTAAAGAAGGAAGAATGCAGTCCTGAAATGGGGTGGAGAAAGGCAGATGTGAATTTGGGATCCTCACCTCGGGCCCTGCGCCGAGTCTCCTGGTCACCGAGGCTGGGTGGCTTTTGCATGGAGCTCAGGATGGAGCCCAGTAGGTCCGCCATCTTGGGAGTGACAGAGAGGAGGCGGTGCGTCTTAAAGGGAAGGGCGAAATGCCTTTAAGACCGGAAACATGTCGGAGGTGGGAAACTTTCGCACTGGTTCCGCCCCAGCGCTGATCTGGCCCTGCGCGCGCAATCTCCCGTGGGCCGAGGCCACGCCCCCACCTCTCCCGGCGGCAATCTGCCAATCAGAGCACGCCAGCAGCGGACAGGCGGGTCTGTCGGCGAGTGGAAAACAAGGACTGCAAGGCCAGGGTAGGGAAAGAGGCAGGAAGCTGGCACTAGGCTTCGGGTAGCCAATCACTCCCCCCCCCCCCCCAGACAGAAGTCGGAGGCTGGCTGGTGCAGCGATGTTTAATGGCAATTCGTAGAAACCAAGCCCATGCACAAGTAGAAAGTGCTCGTGAACCGGCAGGAGGCCCCCGCCGCGCCGGGTAACCACAAGCCCATCCGTGCAGCCCTCCCCGGGGCTCCTTAAATAGATTCTTCACTATACTCTGTATGTTACATATTTACAAAACCCCTCCCATCAGGGGATGGGGCGGGACTCCGCAAAGCGTTCCTATATACAGCTCCCCCCTTTGGCCCCGAAGTTGGTGACCAGAGTCGGAGTGCTGGGGGGGGGGGGGGGGGACGACGCAGGGCCAGAAAAGGAGGAAACAGACGCAAACATGCGGAGTTGGACAGGGCCACGGTCAGCCCTGAAACACTAGGGGCGAGCGCAGCGAAGGCAGAGGTGGGACCAGGCTGATACATTCAGAGATGTGTCGAACAAATAAATAAGGCAAGTCAGGAAAGGGGCGAGGCCAGTGCAGGCAGGGAGAAAGCTGTGGAGAAAGGGCAGGTAGGGCTCCGGAGGTCACAGCTGAAGATGCAGATATGTGGGGCGTGGGTCTTCTGGAGCCGGGGACCAAAAGAGAGGGCACGAGCTTGAGGGAAGAGGAGCTGGGGGATGGGAGAGGGAGTTCAGCACTTTGGAGGGGGAGGAGGTAGAGACCTAGGAAGATCTCCAAACAAAGTGACGAGGAAAGCTGCCGACAGGGGGCTTCTCCCCGTAGACCCCTCTCCGTTAAGACTGCAAGAAGCCGCCTCCAGGGTGGGGAAAGGTCAGGTGGCCAATCCAGGTTGGGGAAGTCCTTCCAGCTCCTGGTTCTGCTTCAGTTCTCTCATCCTGCAGGGAGACAAGGAAGGAGTCAGAGGAGACCAGCAGATCTGGGGAGGTGGGGTGACGAAGGTGGGAGAGCAAAATCCAGCAGGAGAAAAGATGAGTACCTATGACGGCAGCGTCGCAAGAATCTCATGATTTTCCGGGCTGCCTGGTCCTGCTTCTTGGTGAGAAAGGAGCCTCTGATGGAAGAAAGAAAAGATGAGGACACCTCACACAACTTTCAGGCATCTTGCCATCAGCCCCTTTGGGACCCTAGCAAGGAAGGGCTGGGGGCAGGTCGATGAACTGAGAGTTGGGGGTCCATGGGCATAGATGCAGTGGGTAGGCACAGAAGGTTTAGGGGCTGGAAGGTTGGACCCATACTTGTTGCGGGCAGGTAGGCTGCCCGTGGGCCTGCGGCGATAGGAACGGTAGTGCTGCTGGATGAGCACAGCTGCTCGTCGGCTCTGCTGAAATCGCTTTTGTTCATAGTAGCTTCGGAACTTGCTCTGGATCAGGATGGCTGCCTGGGTCATCTTCTTATAGAGTGCAAACTGTAGGAATGGGGAGGAGAGATGGGCTGAAATGGAGGGACAGAAACCCAGACCCCTGAAGGTCACCCCAAGCTCAGCTGACGCCGGTCTCTTTCTCTAAACCATACGCTCATGGAAAGGCTTGAATCATCACAGACAACCTCACACCCAGATCTCATGCCTAATACCTTAAGTGCAATCCACGTCAGCTTGTGGAGAGAGAAGGGGAGTCAGGGTCCCAGTAGCATTCTGGATGCACTGGGTTGGAATGGGTGGGTGTGAATTGGTGGTTATGCTTTAGAAAGAGAAGGGTCTCACCTGTTTGTACTTCCGGTAACAGCGTTGGATCACAGCTGCTGCTACCTCCTGCTGCTCCTTTAGCCACCGGCCCTAAGGGGAAAGAAGGAAGTCTCAGCACCTAAAGGTCCACCTAATAGACATGTGATCTGTCCCAACTTGCCTGAGGTCCCCTGACCCTTCACCCCTGAGGCCTCTGGATGACTGTTCTCCCTCCCAAAGTCCTGGGAGCCCACAGTCTCCCCTGACTCACAGATTGTGTCATTCTTCCCGAGACCTCCCAGCCTCCTGACCTTGTACTTTCGGAAGGCTGTCTGGATGACTCGGGCTGCCTCATATAGTTCCCGCTGCTCATGATCCGATAACGTCAGCAGGGCAAAATCACTCTCCATTTTGCCACTGGCAGATGCAGAGAGAAATTCTGCCCAGGAAGGTGCTGGAGGGATAGCCAGGCGACCCCGCTCAAAAGGCAGTTCACTGTAGGGACAGGGAGAAGGCAAGTCATGGGGCACGTAAAGTCCCTCTTCTGCCTAGGGGTTGCTATGAATGGAGACCCCCCACCAACAGAGCCTAGAGCATGACTTCTGAGCTCATCAGCCAGTTCCAATACCCTTCTCAAAGGCCAATGGGGCCTCTGCCAGAATGGATCTTTGGCTATGGGGAAGCTGCCTTCCCCTTTCCCATCTCCCTTGAAGAAGAATCTGGAGGCTTTGTCCTAAGCTGGTCACCTGGGAGGGGCAGAGCTGGGGAAATGGTCCACATTCTCCAGGTAGCTGGCCAGCCAGGACATGGTCTCGCTGAGCCCCAGGGCCCCTGTCCGCTCCCGCATTGAGGCTCCAGCCTCAGGCAGCCCCACAAAGCCCTCTCGTTTAATCCGCTCTGGTGTGGCTTCGATGATCTGCTTGGCCAATGAGATCATGTCCACCTGGATGGAGAAGCTGGGTGAGCCTTGAGGGGTCCCAACTGCCAGATGTTCTTTCCCTGACACAGCTGTAGCCTCAGTCCACTTTCTGTCTTATTCCTTCTCTCACCACCAGATAAGGCCTCAGGGATTGCTATCCTTTCTAACCCCGTCTTTCTCGGCCACTGTTCCAGATTCATTCATTTACACTTATTGGGCTTTCACCTGTGTTGAGACTTGCTGCAAACATAGGATAGGAAGGACATAATCCAAATGGAGATTAAGGAGCTGAGCAAATGAAGGATTTAGACTTACAGGTCAACTGCCTACTGTCCCATTCAGGCCTGACCCATGTAAGCCGAGCAGCACACCCTACCCATAGGCTTGGCCATGCCTGCCACGCCATTCCCCTTCAGCTCTCCAAGAACCAGCTCAAAGCTTTCCAACCACATGACACCCTACTGAATGGCTTCAGCCCTGCCTTTACTCAGCCCTGAAGCCTGTAGCACTTCCTGCTGACCACATGTAACAGCCCACCTTGTGGAAGTCTCTCAGTTTTTGTACTTATAGTGCTACCCTGACTTCTCTAACCCATTAGCCTCTCTAAAGCAAAGATTATAGCCTCAGGTTCTTGTTGCTACACCTGAAGATTTACTCTCTCGTTTATTTATACCATAAGACTTTCTTAGCTTTTACCATGTACATACCTCCTTCTCACCAAAGGTCATTGCCAGATAGATACCTCCATCCTGCGACCCTCTCTCTTCCACAATCCTCCATCACTCTGGTTCCCCAAGAAGCTTGTCTCTTCATGGATTAACAGGTAACCCCTACAATTCAGCTCTAACTGAAGATATTCCCTAGAATTTTTAACCTCTGGTGCTTCATGGCCTCTGGGTCAAGCTCTGATAGAAGCTAAGCAAAGGATTACCTTGCTTGTCCAAAAATGAGGGTAAATGGCCCCTTCTTCCCAAACTAAAGCAAGACTCTGTCTGTTTCATGGACTAGTCGGCCTCACCCCAACCCTGCACCCCACTCTTTCTAGCCCTCATAATTCCATCAACATAAGCAGTACCGGGATCACGTCCACAGCTGGTGGGTTGTACGCTTCCTCTGAAGCAGACCCAGCATCCAGGGCTGATGGGAGTGGAGGTGGTGAGGGTAGGGGCCCTTTGGGGTTGGTGGCTTCATAGTCCATGAGGAGTAGGGGGGCCTCTGGGGCACCAGAGGAGAGCTGGCCTGGGACCATCTCCATAATAATCTCAGAGGCTGGCAGAGAAGGTGGGGGAGGACTTCCATCTGGGGCACTAGAATAGGCTGATGTGACAGAGAAAGTGCCATCGGACAGCTCTGAGGGTGAGGAGACACTGCTCAGACCTGTAAAGTAAGGGAAGAGGGTGAGGGCTGCAGGAGCCATGTGCCATCCCTTGAGTCACCTACCTGCCACAGCTTTCCTCTTAGTCTCTCTGTCTGTTCTTGCTAGATTATCTTCCCCATCCCCGCCTCCTCCTCAGTTTCCCTCCTTCCTCTCACACGTTCTGTCTCCCACTCTTCAGCTTCCCCTGGCCTATCCTCCCACCCACATCCCCCTCTTAAAAAGATTAGGGACAGCCCTGGTCAGTGTTAGAGTGTTGGCCCATGCACCAAAGGGTCATGGATTCATTTCCTGGTCAAGGGCGCGTACCTGGGTTGCAGGTTTGATCCCCGGCCCAGGTTGGGGTGTGTGTGGGAGGCAACCAATTGATATATCTCACATCAATGTTTCTCTCTCTCTACGTGTGTGTGTGTGTGTGTGTGTGTGTGTGTGTGTGTATACACATATATCACCCCCTGCCACCCTCCCTCCCTCCCACTCTCTCTAAAAATCAATGGAAAAAAATATCCTCAGGTAAGGATTAACAACAACTATGAAATACATATATATTAGGGACATCCCTCACCAGTGTCTGGGCTGGAGGAGGGTGGCGACAGAGCAAGAGGGGGCTCAGCTGAAGCTTCCTGTCTCTGCAGTTCCTCAAGGCAGCGGGCAAGGCGCACATGACCCCGGGAATGAGCCACAGACAGGGGGAGACGGCCCAGAGAGTCAGGAATGCTCAGTGCCTGCCGGTTCCAACGGAAAAGGAGCACAGCAGCTTCCAGGTGTCCCAGGGCACAAGCCCACATCTAAGGAGAAGGG